ATTCATGTAATTAGGCTTGATCTGCCAGAAATCTGATTACCCCAGAATCAATTCCTGTTCCCTTCGTCGTTAATCAAGAAGAACCCAAATCTTTACTTTTATTCGCTCATTCGCATTAGTTTAATTTCAATTCAACCATTCAATCTCGCACGACACATTTATTTTATTTTATTTCTTTTTAATCGCTGAATTTAGTTAATCTTTAATTCTCTTTTGTCCGTCCATGCGGAGACGATACTTGTACTTTCACCACTATTCTACAATCTTTTTAAGTGCGAGAAAACTCACATCACTTTTTGGCGCCGTTGCCGGGGACGGTGTCGGTTTTAAGGGTTAATTAATTTCAGCGAGATTTTTTTTAGTTAGATTTTTTTTTAGTTTTCTGTAGGATTTTTCTGTACTAACCTTTCAGGTATTTTTCTAAGAGGCATGAGATGAACCCATTCAGCCAAATTCCTGGAGGAATTCCTTAGCCTCAAACCTCCATGGAATATTCACCATATACGCCATACCCTCTTTACACTCCTCCTCCTCCTCCTCAATACTACACACCTCATCAAAATTATTCTCCAACACCACAAAATCTTCAGCCATCATATTCATATCATCCAACCACGCAACTCTTTATGCCTAAGAATAATATTTTTTCCTTCTGTGGAGAATGCCACCATATATCTTTTTGCATCGTTAAACCTCCATATGACCATCCTTACTGGGCAACTGCATACCCCACTTCGTCCTCCCCACAACTTACAGACACAAATGTTTCAGCCACTCCTACATACTTCCCGAGTAAGGAGCCTCATAATCAACAAGAGGAGGCAGATTTAAAGAGACTTTCTAGCTTGGAAGAAGCGCTCAAACAATTAGCGCAAAATCAACTGAGGGCGGACTCAAGGATGCAGAACATGGAGAATCAATTGGGGCAGATTGCAAAGGCTTTATCTGAGGAGACCGAGAGGTCCCATCTGAGCAACACAGAAGCCCAACCTGAGGAGACCAATATGGATGATCATGGGAGTGACCGGGTATAGCACTTACCCGACCGGGTACCGGTCAAAATCAGATCATCTTCCACGTTATTGTGTTTCAGCACGTTAAAATGTCCCGGGTCAAGTCAGACCCGACCAGGTCAAGTAGGGAACCCGACCGGGTTTGGTCAAAAATCAGATATTTTCTCATTCTGGTGATCTTTGGCACGTTCTGGTGTTCCGGGACACATCTGACCCGACCGGGTCAAGTAGGGGACCCGGCCGGGTCTAGCTCTTTCATCAAGGATTCGGTTTTCAACTCAGACCCGACCGGGTTCAGGGTCTGACCCGCCCGGGTTTTGTGCTCCTGGACATTTTTATCTTCAGCTTTTTTCTCCTTTCCTTGCTAAAAACACTACCACTATTCTACAACTACACATGAAAGCTAAAAACAATTACAAACAACATAAAACAAATGTTTAGAAACTAACTAAAGATGATAGAAAATCTACACAAAGTCAATACAAAAACATACATTTATGCACTATAAACTAGTGCATATCAGGCTGCTGTTGAAGACGATTTCTCTTTCTTTAAGAACTGTTTTTGTCAGTTCACAGTACTAGCTTGGGCTTTCTTTTGAGTATAAAAGAAGTCTGATTGGATCAGTTTAATATTTTTACTCTTCTTCTTGTATTCACTGTCCAGTGCACTAAGTATACTGAAATGCTTCAGTATTAATGCAGATTACTATTTAGTTAAAACTCATTTCAAGTTTACTCTAAGGACACAAAAGTATAAGTATTTGGTGTGTGCTTTGTTGACTATAAAGAAAATCAACACACAATATATCCTGGTTCAGAGGTGGTGTAATCTCCCTACATCCAGTCTTAGCCTATTCCATATGAATTTCAACTAAAGTCTTAAGTCCAATACACTTAGTGTCAATCTAGCCTTTCTCAAAAAAGCGGCCTAGATTGAAGGTGTTTCACTAGGAGTACACACCTCATGTTAGTTTTCTCGCACTTAAAAAGGTTTTAGAAAAGTGGTTGAAAAGTACGAGCATCGTCTCCACAGGGACGGACAAAAGAGAATTAAAGATTAACTAAATTCAGCGATTAAAAAGAAATAAAATAAAATAAAATGCGATTGTGCAAAATGAATGATTGAATTGAAATTAAACTAATGCGAATGAGCGATTAAAATAAAATGTTGGTTTCTCTCTAATTAACAACGAAGGGAGCAGGGATTAATTCCGGAGTAATCAGATTTCTGGCTGATCAGGCTTAATCATATGAAATTAATTTATTTGAGTCTAGCTAATCATTACTAAGTTCTTACCGCTCTCGCGGCATAGAGTACAATAATTTAGGGGACCAGGCTGATCTCTCATGCAACAGGATCCTAAATTATTTCCAAAACGAGCGAGCTTACGGCCCCTTAATCAATACTAATCTCTTAGCAAACGAGTAAGTGTGTGTGAATGTGTCATAGAATAAATTAGATCTCTTTTAACTTATTCTACAATCAATTGTAATTTTAGCCGCGGTTCTAGGTTACAAAAGATATCAGTTAAATTATTCAAACACAAATTAAACAGCATTCATGCAATTAATCCATCAAGAAACTAGTCATACATCGTGATTAACCCCTTCATCAGTCCCAAATCCCTAATTAAAACTACTCCCGACTCATAATTGAAGAATTAATAGAATTGAGAAGAATAGAAATAATTGTCATTAATTAAAAAGAATGAACTTACAAATAATCTCAGGGTTCTTGAAGTAAACAATGATAACCCTTAAAAAGGGATATGAAGACCTTATTTATAGAAAAAGAGGAAAATTCAAATTCTGAGCGAACTAGGACAATTTTTGCGTAACACGGGGGTAGGCACGATCATGCCTACCCTGCCAGGCATGATCGTGCCTGGCTTTCAGTAGCTCCACGCGAATTTCTCTATCACGCACGATCGTGCGTGACCTGTTTTTCACCATTTGTCTAGTCCGAATTTGATAAAACTTCCTTCATGAAAGTTTTAGATAATGAAATCCTTCATAGACCACAACTTGCCGAATTGGATTTGAATCACCCAATCAAGATATATGAATAAAATGGTAGAAGCTCTCATTCTGAAATCGTAAAAGGGATCATCTGACTTCATCGTCTGTTTTCACCTTCTTTCTCTCAAATTATCGCAATGGTGTCTTCATATGATTTATAGCCCTTGAAGTTTACTTGCATATGAAACTTGAAACGTGTACTTTGGATGCTTCTACGAAGATATATTCTTGAACGATTGACATAAGGTCATTCTGAACGCCGTTTTCAAGCTCTATTTATCTTCTTTTGATCCCGTAGCCAATCATAGAGCTCTTTTGTCGTCAAATCTTCATTGTGAACCTCCCGGTGGCCTCCAAAGCTCTCAATTCACCCTCGAATGCTTCTCGAATCATCCCGTTTACTCCTCAAGCGCCGGTGCCGGACTCTAAATTCATGATTTTGACTTCAAACAACACAAAACTCGAACCAACGCCCGGTAAACATAACTTGAGCTAAAATTGAGACTTGTAACACCTTAAAGCTAGGAAAACCATCACAAGTTGATCCCAACACGCCTGAAATGCGTGACTAAATACGGACTTATCAACGCTACTCCAAGTTACTCTATCCTTAGGTTTTCCCAATTGATCCAGTGGGGATCAAAAGGTACTCTATCCTTTCTACCCACACTTAGAACTTGATCATAACGTCCTCCTAAGTGTTTACAACTGTTTAATATTTACACAAGAAATCTAAACTCCAACTAAGATCTAAACTTCCAGAATATAGCATTGAAGAGTTCTAACTTGGAAGTTTAGTGTAGCATGAGTCAAAGGAGAGAGCAAAGTTGAGCTATGAAAGTGAAGAAGATGATAGAATAGTAGAAATGTGTGTGGGTATTGGTTCTAGGGTTTACAAGTGACTCCAAGAGGAGTATAAATAGAGAAATCATGGGCCGGGCCGCTAATATGGGCCCGATAGGCCCAACTACATAAAAGACTAATCTAGTACATACAGATGATATATGAACAGTACAATAATACAAAAGACATTTGATAACCGTGTTTGGGCCACTGTCCAAGCCCAATAGTCGTGAGATCCAGGGGTCCGAGTCTATATACTCTATCAGTTCACTTTTCGCGTTTGCTAATGCCAAAGTTTGATCATTAATATCTTTCATTCCTTATTTTTAAAAAAATAAACAAAAAATCATATTTTGAAAATTTAAAAGGCGAGGAATTTAACTATATTTTAAAGAAAAATCAATGTATAATACATTAATGAATTAAATACAGTTAAAGTATAATATGTGAATAGTGCAAAAAGTCTAATGTTGCAATTAAAAGAGAACGGATGTAGTACTTTTTAATGTTTTTGGACTGACTTTGACTTAATGATTCACATAAAGAATTCCATAATTGCAATATTGATGACACTAAATAAAAAAAACAAGCAAGAATCAACTAGTATTTAAAGAATTACAAATTATCCCATCGGCATTCACACATGACAAATTTAATTATACATCATGCTAGCATTTATCAAACCAATATGAAGTTAGTTTTTTTTAAATAACTACTATAGAATTAACTATAGAACTTGGAGCCTGGAAGTCTAGAAATAGAAGCTGAACTATCTAAGAGAAGAAATAAAATTAATAATTAGAAAGTTTGTATAATACCAATATAGAAATATAAAAATTTGGGCCCCAAATTTGTTCAAATTTTTGGTGCCCTGAGGCTCAAGCCTCTCCATCCTTACGTAAGGCACGGCTCTCGGGACGGAGACAGAGGCGGAGCTAGGGGGTGCCCAGGCTAGGCTCTGGCCCACCCCAAATTTAAAAAATGACAATATTTTTAATGTAAAAACTTTGTTGTAAATTTTTTTCTAATAATATTCTTTGTATCGGCGCAGTCTGACCCAGTGTCCTGGCTCCGTCTCTATATGGAGATAGTATATATATCTACAAATACGCATGGTGCAGTCCGGATGGATAATATACATACACGACAACGTAAACATTCAAATAACATGCATGTATACAAAGTTAGTGACCGATTTTTCTTTTGTAACATGTACACTACGGAATACTTGGTTAAGAAGTTTCTTTAGTAAAGAAACATGTCTCACTTTCTTAACCATTTTAAGAGAAGTTGCTCACATCAGAGCAAAATAATTAAAGACTAATTAATTTCACCAATATGGATTTTTGTTCTCAAATTAGAACTTAATCAATTCTATTACGAAACCAATATACTGGGTAGTACGTAACTGTCATGAATGAATATTTGACAAATTGAATTTTCATGAGCCAGGCGTAACAGGCTTATTAGATGCGGACATAGCCAGCTTCTTGAACTCACGGTTGAAAATCAGCATAGAAATGTAAGGCAAAGCAATGGGCACCAAAACACTGCTCTCCACACTTGCGGTGCTCGCTGGACGCTCTAGGAAAGTGGCCCCATAAGCGGCCATGGCGCCACCGGCGTAGATGGCGTTACCCCATCCAAAGTCGACTTTCTCCAAACCAATTCTCGATATGTCCGACACAAGCAAGTTTCTCGCCACCGGCATCCTCGGACGACCGTTGACCACCATGAAATTAAGTACTGACTTGACGTAGTCGAGAGTCAGTTTCTCCTTGGCTTCTCTGATCAACTGGATGGCGTAAGAGAGAGGGCTCTCGCACAACACCTTGGCGTTGGCGGCGGCGGACAGCATCACGATGCCGTTTCCATAGTACCCACGAGGAAGCGTCAGACCGGTCACCGATGACCTTCCCCGGATGTCGCTCGGGAAGGTCACGGTGACCGTAGTGTCGGGGTGCAGCTGCAGCCCGACAGTGCGACATCTCCACAAAGACGCGCAGATCACCTCAAACGTGGAGCACTTGCCGAAGCCTTCCTCCAGAACTTGGTCTTTCATGGCCTGGATGTCTTGTGGAGTGAGGGTGAATGAGCGTTGAGTCAGAATGGGCTTCAGAACGGCGGGGAAGAAGAAGAAACGGGGCCGGGCTGCCATTTTTTCGAAGTCCACCATCACACTGGCCCACCACTCCATGTCGAGCATCTTGAACCGCATTTTTGAATTAGTGGGCGCCACGGCGTGCTGGGTCGTCGTCGTCGCTGATGAATCAGCAGCAGCGGCGGTTAGCAGCTCTCTCTCCCACACCGGCAAAACAGAGGGCTCTAGAGCGCCGGTGGCTAATTCGCAGACCGTCTTTAAGAAGAGGGCGAGCCCATAGCCGTCCACCATGGTGTGGTTGAACCGGACGCCAAGCGCAAAGCCGCCGCAAGTGAAACGCGTCACCTGAGATTGAAACATTACCCACTCATCAGTTTCATTGTTAATTACTTGTCAGTTGTCACTCGGTTAAATTCTTCCTTATCCGTTGCCTTAATTAATATCCATATCTCCATAACTATATATAAAATTAAAGCATCCAAACCATAGAACCAAAATTAATATTTCGGACTTCTGAAAAATAAAAATGTCTTGTGATATGCGTAGTTTATATCCTAACGTGCGAGCATTTTGTTAATTAATTCAAATTCTGAGATTAATTCTATGTTTGGAAATCCGAGTTGGGGATGCAAAAAAAGAGTATGAATGTTTTCAGTCCCAGATTAAATCAGATCAAATCAGATCAGACTTAGACAAACCAAATCAGACTAGGAAAGTTATAAAAATACACAGAGATAGAACATTGACCAGACGAGACCGTACTTAAACAGACTAGATCAGATCAAACCAAACAAACAAATTTCAGTCCAAATGAAAACATCCTAAGACTATAAGACTTGGAATAATTTAAGGATTAATCGTACTCTCTCCGTCCCATAAAATTCTTCCCACTTTCCTTTTTGGGCCGTCTCAAAAAATTCTTCCCACTTACCATTTTTGGATAATTTGTGTGGTTCACATTCATTTCACCTTTTTCTTACACAACCACAACCATACATTTCGACTTTATTCCACTTTCTTAATCTCCGTGTCAAGTCAAAGTGGGAAAAATTTATGGGACGGAAGTAGTATTTAATTTAATAGAATATGACTCATTCGGTAATGAAAGACTTCGACTAATTAAAATTTCTTATGATTTTAGGAGTAAAATCTTTTTAAATGAACTAGTTTCAGTTCAGGATCAAATCAAGCTAAGTAAGATAGACTTAAATAGACTAGACTTTGACAATTGTGAAGTGCACATAAATCACATGTGCCAGACTAGTTCAGTTCAGACTAAAATGACCAGACCATATTAGACTAGATTCCTACGAATGTAAAATATATATAAAAAAACATTTATTAGACCAGATCAAACTGAAAGTGACCAGATCAAAATACTAATAATCCAATTAAAACATCCTAATTATTTCAGTTTTGACAAAATTAAGTTGTTAACAAAAGTATTTCATTTAAATCCGATTTAGAGCCTTTTTCTATATTACTAGTAGAAAGTTTTCACTTGAACCTGGTTTCAGTCTTGTAACTGATCAGATCAGATCAAATCAAACTTAAACATAGCGGATCAGAATAGAGATACCAGATTAGACTTTGAAAGTTGTAAAATTCACATAAAACGGATATCCATAAGAACAAATTAGACCAATTCCAACTACATCATACCAGACTTAAGGTGACAAGATCATACCACATTAGACCGTGAAATTTCCATTCAATTAAAAACATTCTTTCATTTATAAGGCATAAAAGGAATACAAAAGGAATAATATTGTTTATATTTTTATTAGGAAATCACAGATTTCAATATGGATAAAAGGAAAAACAATGGATGTGTTTTTCAACACTTTCCAGAATTGTTAGATTTAGGTCCAGTTAGGACAACTCTATTCTCGAGTTATCAATTTTATCCAAAAATATGTAAAGTTGAAGTTATTTTTGGAGTTTAATTGACTGAAATTATTGAAGAGGAGTTTAGCTATTTACATACTTCATATTTTTTTCTTTATTTTATTAATAAAATATACTACATGTATGTATTTAAACATAGTCTCTTCATAGTTCGGTCAATTCACCCACTTCAGCTATAATGTCATCAGTTTCAACCCATGAAGCCAATTCGACCAACTTTAGTTTTACCAAATCGCACTAATTTTTGAAAGTTTATGAATTTTCTAAAGTAGTATTGGCTCTGTTGTATACTACTAGAAGTATTTCCGTACACTTGATAAAATCTATATAATTATTTTCTAATCTCTAATTTATATAAATAATTATCATTTTAAAAACGTTAGTTTAGCTTCAATCAAGCATGTGTATACTCGAGGCATGCAGTTTAATTATCATTTTAAAAACTTTGAAACTGAAAAGTTTAAAAGCCTTGTTATAGGCATGCAGATGCAAACTGAAATTCATATCATAAAAATGATGGTGAATATAGTCAACTTTGATAGGTAGTGAATTAAAGTAACGTGTATAGTCAAATTTAGGTGGAACAAACTCCACGATTCCCAGATGTTTTGATTGGGCGAAAGCAAAGACAAGAGTTGAATTTGCTCTTGTTTTAACTACCCGTATGCCTCTTCCTATTGGGAAGACATAAATGTGGACCACAGAGCCTCTGATCTACTTCTGCTCGCACTTAATCCGGTCCATGCGCCAATAACGCTGCACGATTGGGGAAAACGCTGTACACTTTTTGTAAATCAAGAAAATGCCGGCCTTGCTTTTCTATACCGTAACCGTCCCGAAAATGTTCGTCATATAGACTTTTCTTGATTAATGATAAACAACTTTGGACATTAATTTTGAATAAGGAACATTTTTATATAACTTTCATATTCAAAATAAATTTATATTAAAAAATGTAATTGGTCAAAGTTGAATGTCATTGACTGAGAAAAGTCAATTTGACGAACCTTTTTGAGACGGGGGAGTATATAATATTACTTTGCAGTTTTTTTGGGTAAATGAATTCAAAGTTTCGAACGAGAGACCTCCTGTATGTATGGGAGAGTAAGTCCGCGAGCATCTGAGGTGGACCACTTCGTGTATTAGTTAATAATTAAAATGTTTTTCGCTCTAATTTGTGGAAAAAATTAAAGAATATGGGGATTGGAAGACAATTTGTGGACCATTTTGATATTTTTCGTTTTTAAAGAATTTTAAAAACGGATTTAATATTTCTAATGGTGATCAGTATCATTATGTTTAAAGAATATATTTGAAGGTTTAATATAAAAGAAAATTCCACGCTTGTTTAATAAGATTTTCACAAATTTATTACTCCATCCGTCCCCCAAAGAATTTCTAACTTTCCTTTTTTAGCAGTCCCAAAAAGAAGTTCCTCTTTCTTTAAATGGGAAGTTATTTACATCAAAACAATGTCAAACAGTGCAAAACAATGTCAATCACTGCCGAACAGTGTCAAAACAGTAAAATTTACCCTCGACAAGTTTATTTCCCTAACGTGTGTAGGTCAAACCGAGAAGTTCTTTACGGGATGGAGGGAGTATTTTAAATGGAATGTTAGAGAGTTTTTAGATAACACAATAAGAACGTGTGGATAACGTCTGATCTAGACGGGAATCTAAATCACTACGCCTTAAATTTGGAAGCTATTAATATGAGTTAGACAAGTGATCGATAAGGCCATCACGAAAAATGGGTAAACCTTTCTAAATTAATATTAATTTGAAAAAGTCAATGCTTGAAAGTTTCTTTTGTCGATATTGATGAAAGAGCAGTGACGATAAGATAATAGGAGTAGGTTATGTTTAGCCCTTACCTTGTTATCTTAAGCTCCTGGCGTAGTCTTCCAGTGTACAGGGCTTAGCTGATAAAAACTATTTTATGGGAAGAAAAAAGTTTAGAGAAAATTTGCCATTTATTCCTATTTAAGGATTTTCTAAAATTTTACGTTATTAAATATACAAATATGCTATTAAAAGATCAGAGAAGACAAGCTGTAAGTTGTTCTAATCATATGTTGGACGACCCCAACATATGATTAGGGCCGTTTTGTAATCATCATGGCCGTTTTTTAGGGGTTCAATATGTCATCCAGAACATAGCCTCCAAATTTACAGGGCCCCAAAATTTCAAAATTTTATTAGTATTATATAATACTCCGTAATATTATACTACATATATTAATACTGATCAGTAAAACACAGTTAGTGAGGAAGAAAAGTATAGATTCACCATTTTTTCGTTGGTCGTTTTAGTTTTCTTTACTCAAATTGCTTGAATAATGAGTTGTGTTGCTTTAAATCAAATATTAATTCAATTTTAGAAAATTTTTATTACATTATTTAATGAGTATTCAATTAATTTAAGTATATGTATTTGGATTGAATTTTTTTTGATACTTTTTTATATTAATGTGGGGCCTCGATTTTAAATTTGAAACCGGGGCCTCAGAATTCATTAGACGGCGTTGGTAATCATAGAAGTATTTAAAATATAAAGGTACTTGATTCTGTCATTGTAACGAAGTATATGTTCGAATTGAACTCGATCTTCATGTGTCGAGTTGTATGTAGGGCGGATGTCTATTCTCGACATTAACTACTTAATTAATTTATTAAATTCAATTTTCTAGCTAAGTGTTGTTTGTTTGATCACATTTCATTTCTAAATTCAATCCGCATAAGTACATTGCTGCATATTGCTACATGCAGCAGTAAGCCTAAAAAAATACCACACCCTTCTACTCTCTTTTCTATTATGGAGTATGAAAACATCACATTTCCCATTTTTGCGTATGTTTATCGATGCAAAACTTTATTTATATTAATATATGTTATTTTCAATTCATAAAAACTAAAAAAAATAGATTTTGAAAATTTAAAATGGGACGAATTAAACAACTAGCCTCGTCCCTTCAAACTTAGTTATCTTTGAGTTTTCAAGTCAATAGTGACAAAGTTTATATCATGATTTTGATTAGTATAATATTTTGAAAGTTATAAATTTTATACTTTTATGAAAGTACTCTTAACAAAGAACATGTTCATATCATTTTTATATTATAAATAAATTCCTATTAAAATACTTCTCTGTTCTTTTTTATTTGCAACGGTCCACTTGTCACGTTTGCCAACGCACAAGTTTGACCATTAATATCTTTCATTCCTTATTAGTAAAGAAATTAAAAAAACCAGATTTTGAAAATTTAAAATGAGAGGAATATAAAACCATTTTTTAAAATATTAATCTATAATACATCAATGAAATATAGTCAAAGTAGAATATGTAAATAGTGTAAAAAGTCCAATGTTGCAATAAAAAAACAATAGAGGTAGTATATATGATAGTAATTGATCAAAGTTGAACATAATTGATCGAAAAAGTCAAAGACAACAAAATTTTAAGGGACGTAGAACGTATTTTCCCAATGATGATTCAATAATCCATCAAAAAATAAAGCGTAATCAGAACCTTAGTAAATTTAATGTGTTAGCACTTGATTGCAACGCATAATAAGGTTGGTTGTGATATACACATATCAACAGTGTTATAGTGTCGGGACAAAGAGACAATAAATATTCAAACCGGCCGGGCAGAAGCCCAGAACCTAATAAACCAAATAAAACGAAAAGAATGACGCTACTCAAATTTAGTTCAGTTTTTTAAAGTACCAAGTAATATGAGAATTTGTTGAAATATTTTTCACATAAAATATGAATTAATGAATTGTCATTTAAGAACATTAAATTACTTTCCCTATCAAATTGGATTTTTTATGGGTGGCAACTGCTGTACCTATTTAAAAAACGGGGTACCCTACGATTCATTGGTCCAAATCTTTATATCATTTTTAATTTAGATTTAAATAATTCAATTGCAATATTCTGATTGTTCCATGTGAATAAAGGTATGGTACCTTATAGGTATCATAAAATATACCTTTTTTACAAAGGAATCTGGAGTATCAACGTAGATAAAAGTCGATATCAATCCATAATCAAAAAATGAGAATGAAAAAAAAAATGAATGATGGTACGATGCCAATCATTTTGGTGGGCAATTACGTACTACCTCTGTCCAAGATTAATTTGCAAATTTAACTTTTCTTGGTCAAATAGTTTCATTTTATTTGCTTAATTAGGATATCAATTTTTAATTATATTCTGATTTGGAGTTTATAACTTAGAAAAGATTTTAATGCAGTTTTCGAATATGTAAATTTTAATTATTAAAAATTGAATTAATTATTAATGGTGAGAGTTGACTTTTATTATTGATTGACCAAAAAATATTGCCTTTATAAAACAATTTAGGAGAGACCAGTATAAGTGATCATCCCTGAAATAAAGGGTGTAGTGCGTGGGGGTAGGGCCGGGTACCTGAATAAGGAGTAGAGGGGCGCCAGTGATACCATCGGAGCCAGGAACGTGGTGCAGAAGCTTGCGGAGATAGGGGGACGGCGACTGCACAAAACGGCCCAGCTTGCGGAGGGGAAGGTTGGCCTCCGCCCTCACAAACAGCACTCCCTCGCCGTTGCAGTCAACGCTCAGCTTCCTGTTCGGCCCCTCGAAGAGCCTGCCGGCCAGCGGGTAGAAATACACCAAGGCCTTCGCCAAACCATCCTTAATGAGGCTAGCCGGATCATCGTCGTCGCCGTTCCCGAGTTTAGATGCCGCCGTCTTGGGCTGGTAAAACCACAGGCCCGGCATTTGGTAGCGGAGGCTGGCTTGGTCATCGATGTCAGAGAGCGGCTTCTTCTGTCGTGGCGTTGGCGTTTTGGGCGTCACCAACTCCGGCTTACACATCCGGACTGACAACCTGGGTGGAAACAAGCACCCCATTGTAGCTGTACTACGTATGTTTCGAAGAAATTAAAGAAAAGATAATTAAGAAAGAGTAGTTTGTTAATTAATTTAACCGGGTGGTGTGCTTAAATTAGCTTACCTTACCTTATTGTAGTGGTATTTATAAGCATGCTGGAGCTGCTTAGGTATGACCGTTTCATTGTTGCTCACCTCATCAACTTGTTGCGTACTAAGTACATTTCTTATACTCCGTATATATCTTAGATAGATACTTGTATAAGATATCTACTCTGACATTCTAAATAATGTCATTCATTATATTGGTTTTAATAATAAAAAAAAAAAACAGGCAAGCACACACGAGAAATGAAAAAAATCTTGGTTATACTTGGCGAAAATTATTTTATAATTAAATGACGGTGTGAATACGTACTATTGTGTGTATGTTATGAATATAACGGATTTTTACATATATGTATCTGTAAAAATAAAATATAGAGTTTCCAATGATTACTGTATGGGCTTTTCGTTAGTTAATTACTCTCCGTCCCCAAAACAAGTTACCTGTTTGACTTCACACATATTAAGAAAATAAATTTGACTTTACTGTGGACTGCACTGTTTTGCATTGTTCAAACACTATTTAGCACTGTTCAAACACTGTTTGACACTGTTTTGATGTAGATAATTAGCCAAATAAAGAAAGTAAGGAAGTGTGAACTTAATTTAGGGACTGCCCAAAAAGGAAAGTGGTATCTTAATTGAGGGACGGAGGGAGTATATGACTATCCATGGCATTAGAAGATAAAATTACCCTCAATTTAATATTTTGTGTCAAGAAGCCAATTTATTTTAATAAATGAGAAAATTAAAGAAGATTTGATCATTAATTTTGCGGTATATTTCCGGCCGGTACAAAATGTCCCCTCTAAATTCTAATGCCATTATAATCTAATGTTTTACCCATGACCTCCCTCTTCATTGCTTCCGTAATACGGAGTATGTTTTTTGCCTAACCTACCAGTATCCATCTCTTGTGTCAATAACCTATTCTACTTGTATTACTGGGCTTTTGGTTTATGAATGGTATGAGTGTGTCCATGGAACAGGGGATTCCCGGACCATATACTCCATCAGTAAAGAACTTGGTAATGATTTACCAATAATCGTATGATAACATGTAGGGCCAAGCGCTCATCCCGAGGTAAAGAGCTTATGTACAAGCACAATCTTTCGTGGGTATGTAATTGTTATGGCCTTACTCTCAGCTACAATGCCTTTATCATTAATAAAATGATACTTCATACATATCTTTATGTGAAGATTAAAAGGAATGAAAACCTAGGGGACGCCCTCAACCGCACACGACAATAGACCTGGAAAGCGGTCCATAGTACATCTCAGTAATCTAATGCGTACCGCTTCACCTCTCCAGACTCCAGAGCAATAGGTCCATCGGGCGATCGAGGCTTCAATTCGATCTCAACACACATACAAATCTTTCCATGTGACTTGCAGCTAGAGTCGTAAACGAAACAAATAATTTGTGTTCGATTCGCGATTCGAAATTGTATAAGACGATTCGAATTCGTAAAATTCAAATACAAATACAAATAAGAATATTAAATTTGATTCGAGTTGTTATCAAATACAAATAAGAATATCAGTGTATTCGATTCGAATATTAATCAAATATATTTGATTAATAATAATTATAATATTAATGTCAATATTATTATTAATAATAATAATAGTAATAACACTATGATAACTTTTAAAAGATAACAATACCCTCAAAGTGTAGCCCATATATACACTTTTGCATACAGATTCCAAGCCCATTTGTAATAAATCAGAATATAAATACGAATACAAATCAATTTTTCGGTTCAAATGTCTTTCAAATACAATACAAATAATTATGTATTCGATTTGAAGAATAAAATTGGAGTTATTTGACTTTGATATATACAATTATCAACTTATTTCACACACTATAAGTATATATAATTTCTAGTATGTGTGTGTTAGTGTATATTTCAAAATGTTTGAAATAGATTAATATTTATTAATCATAAAATTAATTCACTTTAGTATATTGTGTACCATCTAAAAATGCATTGATCCATTAAACTTAAATTCTAAAAACACACATTAAGTCATAGCAAGCATTTACAACATAAAAAACACGGAGTATAAGAAAAGTTTTTTTAGAGTGATATTTGACTAATATTTAACTTATACTCAAATCGATTCGATATTCGTTTATGATTCGTTAATTATTCGTATTGTTAAACAAATACAAATACAAATCAAAATTAATATTTGTTTCATGTGTTACCCATGTGCTGCCCTCGGTCCAATGTGTTGCCCTCGGTCCAATCGAGGCATCCACCAGACTTTTTGCCACCCATATCATAATACATTCCACTCCCGTTATCTCAAATGCGGGCACACGATAAACCTCTCAACCACTAATCCTTGGCACTAACATGCCAGATTGACACCTCGCCGTTAATCACAATCTTCATGCACAAAATTTAAGAATCCCCTCGACTACATACAAACCTTTTTGAGTTAATGAGTACGGCAAGCTCCTTGTCTTTAGAAGTTTAGAGTTCACGACAACTCCCAACTTCAATATCGTCCATGATGGTTTCAAACATGTAACCTTCGGCAAAGGATTCTTACATAGACTTGCATTGGTCATGGCTCGCCAACGAGATGAGGTCATTGGATTGGAACTATTAAGTGCCTCGGAATAGCACACAACTACTCCTTTAGACAATGTTACGCTCTACCTAAAGGACTTGGGGACTGAGGGACTAAACCCTCGACCTCATTTACATAGAACAACACTTAACAAAATCTACTCCCTCTCGTATTGAATGCTCTTGACAAAAGGAGTACAAAGAGGGGCTCCTGATGCAATATATGGTCTTAAGACCACGACCCTCATGTACATACTCACAAACATTTGTAATCGGCCCAATACATTCTCGATGACCCTTCATCCACCCCCTCGGTCTAATGAAAGACATCACCATACGGTCGGCCCAATGAAACACTTATACGGTCTGTAGGCACATATGGACATGATAACCCTCATCCTTGACCACTCAATCATGCACCATCAACCTCAACTACCACTAACGTCACCAAAGGAACAATAGTGCACTCTTCCGCCTGCATGAGGGTGAGGGCATCATGCCCTTACACGTGTACCCGCATTTAAAGTGAGAAGCATTTATTGTCACTATAAATAGACCTAAATTGGACAGATGCAATGTAACGGTTTGAACATTAACTAATATCGTATATCTTTCTGTTAGCTATTTTAAATATACTCGTATATATCTATTTAATTGTAATTAAATAACTACTGTACTTAGTTAAGGTAGTTAGAATAGTTTTGGCTTAGATCCTAATTTTAAGGAATTGGTTATTGTGATGTACTTTGTTTAAACAACAGTCTGTGAATAAGATAATTTATCGGCCTAAAATCAGTTTAACTTTCATGGTATCAGAGCCGCTGATCACTCAGCCGCTAATCTTTCGCAACCGCTATTGTTTCAGCTGCTAATCAATCATGAAATCCCCTTCAGGTAGCGTTGATTCAACCAGTGAATCTCGTCACACTACCAATGCAAATCTCACATCTCAATCTGATTCTTTTTAGAATATTTATATTACTTCTCATAAATTACATGAGAGTAAGTACCTCCAATGGCCTCGGTCAATCAAATTGTTTGTTGAAGGACGGTGAAAATTTGGACATCTCACCAGATACACAGCCAAAACTGCAGGAAGGAGAGGAACGACTTGATCAATGGGAAGCTGAGAAATCCATGATCATGTAATGGATTATGAATTCAATGGATTCAGAAGTTGGTTGTGCCTACTTGTTTCTATCAAGTGCACATGTAATCTGGACTGCCCTCAGGGGAACATACTCAGACTTGGGAAATGCCGCCCAACAATTGGAGATCAAGAATCAATTAAATAAAACACGAAAAGGAGATAAGAGTGTCACATAGTACTATACTGAACTGAGAACTTTGTGTTAAGAGTACGACCTGTTTTGTACTTTTGCAACTACACTTGGAAATGCGCAGTAGATATTGCATTATATTAAAAGACCATCGAGAAGGATAGGGTCTTTGACTTTCTGCCTAGACTAAACAAGGAACTAGGTGATGTTCAAGGTCGAGTACTTAAAAAAGAGCCACTGCCCAGCACACGAGAAGCATTTGTAGAAGTTAGGAGAGAAGAAAGTCATAGGCACGCGATGCTTGGTGCTGAAATTTCATCAAGTGCTGAAATTGTAGCGCTAGCCACTTCAAAAGCTGTCCAGAAGCCAGAATTGTCACCTCAACTATTTCAAAACAAAGAGAACAGACTTGTTTGTGACTACTGTCACAAGCTTGGGCATATCAAAGCTAAATGCTGGAGGTTACATGGCAAGCCAGCAAACTTTACACCAACAAATAGGTCACAACGCAATTCCAGAGGTGGTTTCCAGGTCTCTTCAGGAGAATCTAATGCTTATCTATCCTCCAGTGATAACTTATCCATCAAGGAAAACTTAGATCAATTGTGTCGTATCCTGAGTGCATATCAGTTTGCTAATAACCTGAACCAAAGCCCATCTGATCCTTTGTCTTCATTAGTTCAAAAAGGTACATATGCAACAGCATTTAACCTTAAATTAGATAAATCTGATCCTTGGATCATTGATTCAGGGGCCACCGATCATATGACTAAATCTTCATATATGTTTTCTACATATTTCCCTTGTTCTCTAGTCATCAAAAGTTGAAAATTGCAGGTGGTTCCTTGTCTGCAATTGCTGCAAAAGGTTCTATAGTTGTCTCACCTTTACTCACTTTAACCAATGTCCTACATTTACCTAATCTATCACGTAATTTGTTATCTTTCAGCAAAATAATCAGTGATTCTAATTGCCTTGTCAAATTTTTTTCTTCTGGGTGTGTTTTTCAGGAGCACAACTCAGGCAAGGTGATTGGTAGTGCACATGAAAGTGGTAAACTCTACTACTTTACCTCAAAAAATCTTGAACATAAACAAGTTCAGAATCCATGTTTCTTTAGTTAGTTATCTTTAGAGAATGAAATAATGTTATGGCAATATAGATTAGTCATCCTAGTTTTGGTTATTTAAAACATTTATTTCCTATATTATTCAAAAAT